GTTGACCCAAGAGTCTCTGCAGACAAAATACTGGGTGTTTCAAACACTCTTCTGACAGGCATCTTTCAGATGGTCTAAGTTCCAACAAATTTTTCAGGAGATCAAATAAAGTACTGCTTATAACACCCTGGTATCTGTTTTCCAAAGAAATAGAGCTGCTTACGGCTGGGAAGGATGTTCCATAGAAAAAAGGATTTTTGTGGAAGATAATCTGCTGTTCTGTTGGTAGTGGTCCTAAAATGTTCTGTATTGCCAAAAGCTGATCACTATGACTTTTGCCAGGAAACAGTGTCTTCCCATCACTGAGTTCTCCTATGATGCAGCCTACTGACCACATATCAGCTGCTTTTCCATATGGTGCCCCAACAATGATCTCTGGGGATCGGTACCATCGAGTTGCCACATAGGAGTTTTGGACATTGCTGATCTCTGACATTTTTCTTGCAAGCCCAAAGTCACAGAGTTTAATGGTGTCATTTTCACTAATTAAAACATTATCTGGTTTCAGATCTCTATGTACAATACTATTTTTGTGGCACCAGTCTATTGCCTTTATCAACTGGTATGAATAGTTGTTAATTTTGTCTGCTGGAACTCCATTAGGCATTTGTTGTAGCACGTCAATCATAGATTTTTCAATATACTCTAATATAATGTATAATTCTCCCTTACTTCTAAATGCTTCTTTTAACTCAATTATGTTTTCATGTTTCAAAGACCGAAGCATTTGCAGCTCTAGCAGTGCTTCTCCAAGATCCTTACTGTCTTTAAATTTCTTTAGGGCCACGATTTCTTTTGTTTCACTGTTTCTGCCCTTAAACACCATTCCATATGATCCTTCCCCTACAAGGGCAAGGATTTCAATTTTTTTCATGTTATTAAGCTCAGGAATGTCCATGATGGCAAAATCTCTGCCTGAGATCTACCTCTTTTGCTAACAGCACGTTCCCTAAATTCACTCTAACTTTTTGCAAAGCTGGTAAGTGTCTTAATAGCTGCACTGTGCAATGTAGTGCAAGGGGCACACTAGGAAAGAACACCGTGTGCATCATAATCATATCATAGTTAACATAATGTTTGGTTTGCTCTGATCATTCTCAGCTAACACAGGATTGGTGGGATCAATATGGACACACCCACTATTATCTACATATACACATGCTGTTTATTTGTATGTAGCGTACTGTGATCAATACAAGTACGTGAATATCTGGGGGAAGCAAAAGATATAAAGACTGACCATGTATTGATCTGTGCATATATAAACATACCAACCAACAGTCCTAAATGTGGTGGAAAGGTCCTGATTTGTAACTCTTGTCCCAGTCTTGTTCCATGGTATCTTGCTTCTGGGGACACCAGAAATTTCTCGATATGCACTTGTGCTATCCTTTGATCTTAGAACACCTCATGAATTTTCTGTATATGGGTAGCAGAGTGCATTTACTGCATGTTTACACACTCGCTAAAGTGGGACCAATGGGCCAGTGTCTCCATCAGAGGATTATAGACAGTACCCTGGTATGGGGCCTGATCCAGCATAGGGCCCCAAACAGGGCCCTATAGAATGTATTGATCCAATTGCAAAGATCGCTATATCTCCCTAAACCAGACTGCATTGGCCTGTGTCATCAAAGTGGGTGATTTATTGTAAAGGAGCCTGCAGAGCACCTATCACTGTCCTCCAGCGTTACCATGGAGCTGCTCTAACAGGCAGCTGAGGCTTAGATTTGAGCCAGTATGTAAACGAGGAGTGAATTGCATGCTGTAATACATGGCAAGGTGGGACTGCCTTTGGGGGAGTAAAGGATAGAGGCAATTAATATTTATGATAATTGTGGCGAGTTACTGTGGAGGGAAGAGGCAGAGGATCTGCTTTATTTGGATCTGACTGCGTGCATCTCCAGCTGTTTGTCAGTTTGACACTTTATGTGTATCTATGTGTGTGTGGAGCAAAATCACTTTGTTTATTCTGCAGTCACACAGCCTACCTGCACACTTCCTGAAAAGAGTTTAAAAAATTTAACTTCCTTTACAAGACTGAGAGTTTAATTTAGAATTTTGTATCTCCTGCTCTGTTTATTGCCTGCTAGAGACTAACGCAGATTCCTGTCTGTGATTAAATGATCAAAGCACCATAACCACTATATCACACTAGAGTTGAGTGCACTGTGTTCTAGTAGTTTTACTTCCTACCTAGGGTCTGACTTAGCTTAGCCTGGCAGTGCAGCACTAGCCTCATTGGTTGAGAACTTATGCACTTAGGCAACAAAATGACTGTGTACTGCAGGGTTTAACTCAGGAGAGCAAGTGGACGCTTCTATTAGGAGCTTCTGGCTCTATGAATGGATGGGAAAACAGTGTGACTACTTACACTAGGGTCCAAAGTATGGAGCAGCACATATTCACAGGTTGCACATACTCCAGACTTAGCTCAAGAGCCAGTGAAATTGCATAAAACAGAAGCTAATTATATGACTGTCTATTTAAATAGCCGAACTCTACAGATACGTTTCATGTGGAAGCACTATTCTCTGTCAAGTTGATAGACATGTGTTAGCAGTTAAAACATTGCCGCACAGTTTGGTCACTAAAATAAAGGGGTAATGACACAAGAAAGATGTGTTGGAAGGCTTCTATTTTATATTTACATTGGAGGGTGCAAGTTCGCTCTTTGCACTATAACACTACAGGACGATGGTAGTTATGGTGCTTGGAGTGTTCCTTTAACAGAACAAGAGATAAGAACATTTCAATAAACACAGTGTGCATTAAAAATGCAACTTTTTTTGTAAGGCTTTTCTCTGCAAATGCAGTGTTTACATGAAAATGTCAGCATGGACATACTATTTTCTCCATAACAACTGCAGTAAAGGTCCACTCGACATCCCAAAAGCACTTTAGCTTGCCGGATCGCGCGTGCATGTGGGGACCTAGTCAGAGGATTGGTTATTTCTCTGTGAAGAGACTTAAAGTCTCTTCTGGTGGGGTGAAGGAGGAGCTTACAAAGGCTGCAGTCATAAGAACTGCAGCTTTTGTAATCTATTTTAGATGATACTTCCAATGAATACATGCATAAACAAAGCATGCATGTATTCATTGGTGGTTTATCTACTAAACTGTGTGTGGGGGGTGTTGGGGTTGGGTTGAAAGAGTGGAGTGGTCCTTTAAGCTGTAGTTGTTCTGGTGACTGTAGTGTCCCTTGAAGGTCGTTTTGTTGCTATATTCATTTATTCCTTTAATGTCTTAACACACTGTAGATTATAGATGTAGTTTGTTTATTCCTATAAAGGTTGGTTCAATAAAAATAAAAATAATAATACAAAACTAATTTACAAAAATATTTTTCAGTTAGTATAGACATTTCTGAAGGAACTCTGCTTCTAATGCAATTAATAGATAAAGCATGAAAGAGACTTCACACCCCTAAAGCACTTCAGTTATTTGATTGGCACATTTGTAGCAATTGCCGTGTATGCAGTGGCGTAGCTAGAGATTTTGCCGCCCGGGGCAAACTCTGATTTTGCCACCCCCACTCAATACACAACGAAAACATTACAAAACTGACACTGACAAACACACACACACACTCACTGACAGACAAACACACACACACACATTCACTGACAGAGAAACAAACGCAAACTCACTGAGACAAACATTCGCTGACAGGCACACACTGAAACAAACACACACTTACTGAAACAAACACACTGACACTAACATTTACACACTGGGGCTCTTACACAAACTCACTAGCTTATATACACTTATTGTTTTTTTTATAAATGACATATAAATTAAACATGTTCCTACCAGTGGCCGGGTGTTGCTGTCCAGTGAAACTGACCAGCCTTCTCTCTTCACAACCCGTGGCCGCTGGGATATGAGTTCATCTATCTCAGCACAGCAGCCCTTAAAACAAAGTGATTGGCCGCGAACTGCTGTCGCTTCTCGCAGCTCACATCCCCTCTGAGCCTTTCACTTCGCCTCATTTGGCCGGCGCATCTGGAGGGGTAAGAGAGAGTGACCGGCAGGAGAGTGGTTTTATGTGCTTCCACCGGTCACAAGGACATCATTGCTCCATTAGGATGGTAGTGTCGGCCCTGTGTCTGACGCCCCCCCAAAGATAGTCCCCCTACCCCCTCGCTATGCCACTGCGTGTATGCACCTATTTGTCTGAGCAGGAAGGAGACTGTTATAACCAACAGTCTCCCAGGGGTAGAGTGGAACAGCGGTGAGATGGATTTCACCACTGAATAAAAAAGTAAGTAATCTATATTATTGTGTTGTATCGTGGGGGGCACCTGTCACCTATGTGGCGAAGTGTAAGGCTCAGAGGGGGCACCTGTTACCTATGTGCTTTAAGAAACACTCCGACGTTAAATCAAATATTGGCTTTTAATTCTGAAGTGTTCCTTTAAACACATGCAAGGAACAAGTAAATTAAAAGTAAATTGATATTTACCCAATCTTCCCAAGGGAAAAAACTCCTCCACACAAAAATAAATCTACATGAAGTAAATTTCCAAAGAAAGCAAACACAATTTAATGTAATAAATCATAGAGAGCATGTAAACCAAAATGCAAGATGTTGAGAAAACACCAATATAGCGTGTGCCTTCTATGGCACTTATTCAAATAGGTATAGAGAATAATTAAAGGTGCTAAACTTTCAAAGGAAATGTCAGGAGCTGGAAACTCCACCCTGACCTGAAATTGGTTACACCTACAAGGAGCCTCTCATTCTGGTCTGGGGTGTCCGATCTCGTCACATAAAGAGTGGAACTGCTTTATAGGTTGATAGCAGCCATTCTAAGACTACAGTCAGTTTATATACAGTATTATGACCCATACAATGTGCAGTCATTTTCATTTCAATTTCAAGTCCACACACAAGTAGCATGAAACTGATACCGTGTTTCCCCGAAAATAAACCCTACCCCGAAAATAAGCCCTAGTCGGATTTTCGGGGTGGGCTGCAATATAAGCCCTACCCCGAAAATAAGACCTAGGCATTGCACCTTTGCGGCGAGACTTCCTTCTTCTACTGTAGGAGGAGCGTTGCGGGCCGTGGCATTGCGCAACGTGATGACGACATTTCGCAGTGCCGTCAGTCTGCCTTCACGGATCTTCAGCGGAAGGATCCATTTCCGGGCGGTGAGGCACCCAGTGGTCGGACTCGGCAAGGAATCTTTGAAATGTGAGTACCGGTAGATATTTTATATCTGGGACTAAATTAATTAAAGGGGGCGGGGGGTGAATTCATTAAAGGGGGGGTGAATTAATTAAAGGGTGGGCTGGATTAATTAGAGGGGGGTGAATTAATTAAAGGGGTGGTGAATTAATTAAAGGGTGGGCTGGATTAATTAGAGGGGGGTGAATTAATTAAAGGGTGGGCTGGATTAATTAGAGGGGGTGAATTAATTAAAGGGGTGGTGAATTAATTAAAGGGTGGGCTGGATTAATTAGAGGGGGGTGAATTAATTTAAGGGTGGACTGGATTAATTAGAGGGGGTGAATTAATTAAAGGGGTGGTGAATTAATTAAAGGGGTGGTGAATTAATTAAAGGGTGGGCTGGATTAATTAGAGGGGGTGAATTAATTAAAGAGGGGTGAATTAATTAAAGAGGGGTGAATTAATTAAAGGGTGGACTGGATTAATTAGAGGGGGTGAATTAATTAAAGGGGTGGTGAATTAATTAAAGGGTGGGCTGGTTAATTAGAGGGGGTGAATTAATTAAAGGGGTGGTGAATTAATTAAAGGGTGGGCTGGTTAATTAGAGGGGGTGAATTAATTAAAGGGTGGGCTGGATTAATTAGAGGGGGTGAATTAATTAAAGGGGTGGTGAATTAATTAAAGGGGTGGTGGATTAATTAAAGGGGGGGTTCAATGTACATACCGTAAATAAATAAGCCCTACCCTGAAAATAAGCCCTAGTGTGTTTTTTGTGACTAAAATTAATATAAGACCCGGTCTTATTTTCGGAGAAACACGGTACTACAATGGAGAAAGTTAAACGTATTCCTGTTGTATCCATTTCAGGTGACAGTGTTATAGCTGCAGTAATTTTTGCAAATCATTCCAGTTACAAGTCACCTTACGATGAAAGCAAAAGTACTCTCTGCACCATAACCTCTCCAACCTTTAACCCCTTAAGGACCAAGCTTCTGGAATAAAAGGGAATCATGACATGTCACACATGTCATGTGTCCCTAAGGGATTAAAGGCTTGCTGTTTGGCTTTAATAGACACTCCAGCAGGCACATTAACCCTATATAAATGCTCTATGTAGATAATACAATAAAACTAGAAAAATAATCACACTTAGGGGGCGTGACCGGAAGCCGAGCCGGATGGTCGCAGGCTGAACGAGCTCCGACGGCCAGGCTCGTGAAAAGCTAATAACACGCATACTAAAGCACCAACGAGCACCGAAATCCCCTTACCAGCATGTCCCAACACCGCACGAAAAAACCACCGGAGGCCAAGGACAAGGCGTCCTTTTTCACGGCCCGGGCACAGCAAAATAAAAACGCGGACACATCAGTCCAAGATGGCGCCGAGTCTGACGCCGACGGCGAATCATTGGCGGGAATGGCGGTGGATAAGCCGACCCTGCAACATATGCTGGACTCCCTAGCACACAAAATGCAAGTAACAATACAAGCAGCAGTGGCAGAGCTACATAAAGATATAACAGACATTGGCAACCGCACCTCCCATTTAGAAAATAAGATGGAGGAATTCACTGTGGCCCAAAACACATTAGCTGACAGGGTAGAGGAGCTGGAAAGCAAAATGGAACGCTGTGAGTACAAACTCATGGATATGGAGGACCGCTCACGCCGTAACAACCTGCGGCTGAGAGGCATTCCAGAAGCAATCACCCAAACCGAACTCACAGCTTATGTCACTGAATATTTTCACTCCATGCTGCCAGATATCCCAGCGGACATGCTGATCCTGGACAGGATCCACAGAACAGCGAGACCCGCACACCTACCCACCTCCAACCCACGAGATGTCCTGCTGCGAGTCCATTATTTCCACGTGAAAGAACAGATCCTCAAGGCCAACCGAACCGGGCGGAGCGGGAACGAGAAATTCAAAGATGTCCTGATATTTGCAGACCTTTCAGCGGAAACCCTGCGGAGAAGGAGATCGTACCGCAACATCACGGAGACTCTCAGGCATCACACCATTCAATACCGCTGGGGCTACCCAGTGAAACTCCTGATCCACAAAGGCGGCAAGATACACGTGATAACCTCTAACCAAGAGGGTGTAGAGCTTCTGCAAACCTGGGGACTAACCGAGACCATGTCCGAAAAAGGACCATTACGAATCGACAAGATCCAAGGGGAATGGAAAAAGCCCAAGCCGAGAAGGAACACCCAGCGACTGATGCGATGAACTTTATGGGACACTCTCCACAGGTTTGGTCTGCGGGGACGGGTCGACATGTAAAGACTGAGAGCGGGGTTTATACACCCAACAGCTAGGAGATGGGTGATAGGGGAATACGCCCAGGGGCCCAGATACCAGGGCAACACCGGCGGGACAGACACTAGACAGATACCAGACACACACGGGACTAAGTAAAGACGTACGCGACCGAGACACAGGTCACGAGGACCTAAAGCATATTTAGACAGACCCCCTTTCTCAAAGCCCAGATGAACCCCCCAACCACAGGCCCCACAACCACAAAGACATCATGACGCAAGACAAACAAAACAAAACAAAATATATCAGGGGCAAAAAAAAAAAAAAAAAAAGGTCACAAAGATAGTGGAAGACCGGATCAACAGACCCCCCCCATAACCAGATGAATCATGAACACCACCCCACAGGGCAGCCCCCATGACCGCACTGAGACAGGCTAAACCCTTTCCATAAGCACCGACCTTCTCCCCGTAGCCCCCGACCGACCTACAGTGCAAGCAGTTACCGAGCTCTGGCCACCGTTGCGAGACGGGATCAGACCTGATCCGGCCAGACACGGCCACCTACCCCCTAACCAAGGAGGTTAGACCCATGACCTTCAAGTTGATACCTTTGTACGCCCCAATAGTGGCGTCCACATGTTGTGTTATGTTTATATTGACTATGTTATGGTTTATAATTGTATGTTTTTTAACTAAATGTGTCAGAATTACACCCCAACACCACATGGCAAGCCCTTTTAGCTGCGCACCCTGTGCACCCCAAGATATCCACAGAGCTCCAGTACAGCATACCCTACTCTTAACACTGTAGTATGAAGATATACACACACAACGTTAGGGGCCTGAACACCCCACACAAGAGACACATTCTACTCAAAGATCTAAAAAACGCCCAAGCAGACATAATTTGCCTGCAAGAAACACACTTCCAATCCACCACTAGCCCAGTCCTGAGCAAAGCAATATACCCGCACCAATACCACGCCACAGCGCCCACAAAACGTAAAGGCGTCTCCATCCTAATCAGCCGACACCTTGCATTTGAGGAAATAATGGTCACAAAAGATCCACACGGGAGATACCTTATACTGATCTGCACCATTAATAGCTCCACATACACGATAGTCAATACGTACATGCCGAACGCAAACCAATGTGGATACCTCCACAACCTCCTGAGGCTCATATCCTCAACGCAAACGGGCACAACGATCATTTGCGGAGATTTTAATCAGATCCAAGACCCCGCGCTAGACTCAACAGCGAAGCATACGCCTCATAGGCACAAGGTCCTCCACAGGCAATGTAAGTCCCTAACCAAGCTCCTACAGTCACACGGCTTATACGACGCATGGCGCACACTGCACCCAACCGAGAGGGAATACACACACTTCTCCCAGGTACACAACACCTACTCAAGAATCGATGGCTTCCTCTTGCAAAGCGCACATCTAAACCGTGCGGTAGCGTGTGAGATAGGTACCTCTGCTTGGTCAGATCACAACCCAGTGGAACTCACACTAGCAGACCACTACAATTACAAAAACAGAGGCCCTTGGAGGCTCAACAAGCAACTTCTCACTGATCACCAATTCACCCAAACACTACGACAAGACATGCAGACATACTTTCAAACCAATGACACCCCAGACATTACCTCGCTCACCCTTTGGATGGCCCATAAACCAGTCATCAGGGGCATATTTATAAGACGGGCAGCCCACCTCAAAAAACAACAACAACACGCACATATTCAGAACCTAAAAAGACTACAAGACCTACACAGGACAAACCAAATGACTCCCTCCCAAGCCACGCAGGAAGAGATCGCTGTCCTGCAAAGACAAATCCACACCACCAACTTCCAAAAGGCAAGCTATGCACTGAAGCGACTCAAAGCGACCACGTTTGTCCTGGGTAACAGAGCCAGCAAAACTCTGGCCCAAAGACTCAGGGATAAACAAGCCCAAACCAGAATCCCATACTTACTCTCTCCCCAGGGACAGAAACTGCCCCAACCCACTCAAATCTGCAAGGAATTTGCAACGTACTATAGCTCCCTATATAACTTAAAGGACAACCCACAAGTACCTCAGCCAACCCCTCGCACCATCTCGGAGTACCTCGACAAAATTGACATGCCCAGACTCCAAGCACACCAAGTAGCCGCTCTCGCGGCCCCCATTACCACCCTAGAAGTGACACAGACCATTGATTCTATGCCAAAAGGCAAAGCCCCAGGCCCTGACGGCCTCACCAATCTGTACTATACCACTTTTAAGGACATATTAACCCCCTACATCACACGAGCCCTCAACCTAGCCACGCAACAGGGAACCCTACCGCCCGAATTCCTAGCAGCACACATTATAACCCTACCCAAACCGGGTAAACCACCAACGATCTGCCCAAATTTTAGACCTATCTCCCTGCTAAATGCCGACGCCAAGCTATATGCTAAAATATATGCGGCTAGGCTCAAAACATTCCTGCCTAGTTTGATCTCAACAGACCAAGTGGGATTCGTGGCAGGCAGACAGGGCCCAGATAACTCCCGGAAAGTATTGGACATACTTCACTACCTTAACCGCTCCACACTACAGAGCACGCTCCTCTCCCTAGACGCTGAGAAGGCATTTGACCGTCTCAATTGGCAATTCTTACATGAGGTGATGTCGAGATACGGGTTCCCACCGGACTTCCAAAACATGATAAGAGCTCTGTACAGCACCCCAACGGCCACGGTTCTCAATTCAGGGTTCAGTTCTGCCCCCTTTACAATAACCAACGGCACCAGGCAAGGCTGCCCATTATCCCCCTTGCTCTACGTGCTAGCGTTGGAACCGCTAGCAATAGCCATCAGAAATAACCAAAACATCAAAGGGGTAACAATAGGCGACAGGGACTACACACTGAACCTCTTTGCGGACGACATACTCCTCACGATAACCAACCCGA